TTTTATTTCAATTCCAACTTTGTTCATGAAGAATATGTTTCTCTGTTGTCCCCGTTCATAAAGCATAAAACAACAGCATCAGAGCACGGTGCAGAGTTTACAGTAGTCCCTTGTTCTTATTAAACATCCCTGTTGTAGTCCGCTGTATAGAAAACTGTAGTTTCCATAGTTTCCCCCACCGCAGCAGGCGCACATTTATGACCTCCGCTGGCGCATCATAAACACGTCGGATAGTGAAAGTGCAGTCGGATTCTCTAAAGTACCGCAGTCTCTTCTCCTAAATCCTTTTGAATTCTCCTATCCACTATCCCTTAACCCCATGACGTTTCACTCCGAGGTCAAGGAATAGACGATAGGGTTAGAACTTAGGAGCTGTTTTTTTGGAGTATTCGACCGCAACCCCTGTCTCATGTTTTCCTCCTTGTGTCTTGTCTGGTCCTACTTCCTGTGTTTGCCTTCCTGTCTTTAGTTTCCCTGGTGTGTCTGATTGTCTCATTGTGTTCACCTGTTGCCCTTGTGTTTCTGCCTCCCTTACCCAGCTGTTTCTTGTCCCGTGATTACCCCTCTCTGTATTTAGTCTTGTCTTTCCCTGTGTTCCCCTGTCGGTTCATTGTTTGTCTTTCCTGTCTCCCTCCATGTTGGTCACGGTCAGTTTTGTTTGTTAATGCTACCTTGTGCTACTTGTGTTTTTTCGTGCCATGTTCATCAGCTTTTAAATAAAGCTCGCTTTTGTTTCTAGACCTTTTACCTTTTTTATAGTCTGCATTTGGGTCCTACCTTTTCCGCAATCTTAACAGAGATCTTAACAGAGATGAACCAAACATGTATTTGCTTGCATAACATATGAGCAGTACTTCCATACCTGTGTCATCAGACAAGATGTATGGAATGGAGCTCCATCCTTGTGTCTGTCTCCTCCAGTGATGTCAAACTGCTGACTCCTGCTGTGCAGATGCTCTTCACCTCCTCCCCTTCGTCAAATCCTGAGTGTAGTCTCTGTGGGGCAGCAGTGACAATGTAGTTGCTCACAAACATGCACAGTGCAGTCATGTTTCCACTACTCCTCAAGTACTTCCTGTAGTTTGGGACATTTGTTTTGCTTTAGGTTATAACACTTGTGTTATTCTTCAGAGCTGGGTCCTCATTACAGATCTGCACTTTTTTAAATGCACCTGCATTGACACACCCGTTCACAAAATCATACTGAGTGTTTGGCACATATTAGAAAACAAGAAATGCAATGTGTAGACATGGTATTTGACAGGTATGACGGCCCACAGTCAATCAAAGACCTGGAGAGGCAAAGGAGAGGTGCAAGTGATGGAAGGCCTACACATGTTATCACTGGCAAAACAAATGTCCCAAACTACAGGAAGTACTTGAGGAGTAGTGGAAACAAGACTGCACTGTGCATGTTTGTGAGCAACTACATTGTGCTGCCCCACAGAGACTACACTCAGGATTTGACGAAGGGGACGAGGTGAAGAGCATCTGCACAGCAGGAGTAAGCAGTTTGACATCACTGTACAGTGATCAGGAGGAGACAGACACACGGATGGTGCTCCATGCCATACATCTTGCAGAGTCATATTCCCGCATCATTGTGAGGTCTGATGACACAGATGTGGAAGTACTGCTCATATATTATGCAAGCAAATACATGTTTGGTTCATCTCTAGTGTACATGCAGGCCATGGAATGAGAGAGAGATAAGTCCCCATCAACACCATATGTGAGAAAATTGGAAAAGACATTTCTAACTGTCTACCAGCATGTCGTGCACTCACTGGCTGTGGCACAAGAAGTAGTTTGTACAGAATAGGAAAGACAATCAGCATCAGCAAGTCGTTTGTGACCCTGACCAGAGCTGTTTCAGTGCTGTGGGCGGAACGGAAACCGAACTGGAATTTCTCAAAGAGGCCGTTTAGTTGGAGATGGTCCTGAAGCTGGGCGGAAACCACATGTCTAACTGTCTACCAGCATGTCATGCACTCACTGGCTGTGGCACAACAAGTAGTTTGTACAGAATAGGAAAGACAACAGCATTCACCAAACTCAAGACCCATCTCAGCGAGCTCAAAGATCTGGCCCATTTTGGACTCTCTTCCAGCTTGGAAGAGTCTTTGCCAGTTGCAAGAGAATTTGCGCTTCTGCTATATGGAAAAAAGGAAATTGGACTGATGTGCACAAACTTGGATGAACTGAGGTTCATAATTGCATCAACAACAGATGCAGCCTCGGAAAATCTGCCGCCAACAGAGGATGCATTTCAACAACATGTAAAGAGCAATGTTTCAGACAGTGATATAACCCTTGTTATGGAGTCCTGTTGGCAGGGGGTGGATTGTCAGAGATGGGGCCATTCAACCAGTGCTATTTACAAAACCCCCAGCACCTACAGAAGTGAGAGACATTACTCACTTGTATTGCAAAGATGCAATCCAGCAAGTGTGGAGAGAGTGGAAAGTGCCTTCCCTGTACGGAGTTCTGCAACTGCTGTGCAGAATGTCAAAATGTGTCCCCTAACGTTTCTGAGGAACCTGACATTTAACATTATATTCTAGCATCTATATACTTGACCTCTCACAGAATTATTTGATGAATTGTATACTGTACTTTGAATTAAGGTTCCAGTTTCAATAACACCTGTACTATTTAAACCTATGTTTTAGAGGCTTGCAATTTAGAACTAATACACTTTATTGTATTGGGTTACTCTTATTCTGACTATTTGGTGATGTAGTTCAGCCACCTGGTATTTCCCTCTCCAAATATAATGACCATCAGAGTGAGCATTCTTAACTTATAGGCTATTATGCCACTTATCCCCCATTCGGAATTTGACTGTGTCAGAGAAGAGGTAGGCCTATGTCTAAAGAAATCTCATTTTGCAATAGAACTGTATCAGATATTTCCATGCAACTACTGGTTAGTGTTCAATAGCACCCTAGACAATTCAGTAATGGTATATTTTTTAGGGATTTCTGTTTTTCTGATAAATGAGAGAAAAGTGATTGAGTCCTATGTTCCTTTCACCAAAAAGTACAATTTCCATCTAAACTAAAGCTAAGTTGACAGGACTATAATTGAGTATTTTTTTAGTTAAATAATTGTCTGACTATTTGGTGATGTAGGACAGCCACCTGGTTCATACCTCAGCAAATCTGAAGAGGAAAAGAGTGCCCATTCTCAAGTTATGGGCTTTTTTGTCACCTTTCCCCTATTCGGCCTGGTCTAATTTGGCTCTTTTTCAGGGATTGGGGTAGTTCTAAAGAACAACCAAACAAAAATGTTTTCCCCCAAAATAAAATTTGACAACAAAAGTCCCACATGCCAGCTTTACTTTGGAGCACCCCTTGCAGGGGTTCAGCCTGCTGAGGCTTGGCCTGTTGGGGATTTGAAGGGTAGGAACGCTGGTCGGGCTTGGCCTGCTGAGGATTTGAAGGGTAGGAATGCTGGTCGGGCTTAGCCTGCTGAGGATTTGAAGGGTAGGAACGCTGGTAGGGCTTGGCCTGCTGAGGATTTGAAGTGTAGGAAGGCTGGTTGGGCTTGTTCTGCTGGGGTTTGGGCCGGTACCTAGACTGCAGGGGATTTGAAGGGTTTGCGGCCTGCTGGAGTTTCAAAGGGTAGGAGGGCTGGTAGGGCTTGGCCTGCTGAGGAATTGAAGGATTTGCAGCCTGCTGAGGTTTGGTTCGGTACCAAGACTGCAGGGGATTTGAAGGGTTGGCGGCCTGCTGAGGTTTGGGCTGGTGGGGCTTAGGCTTGTAGCGGGCCTGCTGGGGCTTTGGAAGGTTTTTGGGCTGCTGGGGCTTGGATGGCACTGCAGAGTAGGGACCAGAGTGCATCATAATTGCAGAACTTGAAGCAATACCAGACTGAAAAGAGTTTGGATTATGGGGCAAAGGGAAAGCCCACGGCGCAGCTTTGGTTGGAAGGACACCATTTGCACTAGGGTTAGCTTGAGGTAGTTGGTTTGGTTTACGAATTATTGGTTGGCTTGGCCCGTAACTAGAAACACTTCCCTCAGGACTGTAACCATCTACTTGCCTACCATGAGAGCCACTTGGTGCAGCAGCTGGCTTCAGAGTCTCAGATAAAGCCCCATCAGTATGAAAGGGTGAATAACTACCCAAAACCCTCTCAGGCTGTGCTGAACTATCATCACTGGAAGTGGAAGCAGGTTTAAGACTTCTTGAACAATCAAAGTGAGGTGTAATGCCACTGGAGCCTCCACTTCTGTAGCTGAGTGCTAAAAGGAGAACACATTTTTTAAAAGATAGCCTTATAGGAAAATTATACATTTCAACTGCAGCTTGTGAACCATAAATCCTTACCCTTTGCTTGCTGCCCAAAAATCAAGAGTGAGAGCACAAGAACTCTAAGAAAAGAGGAATTAAACATGAGCCAACCAAAAACAGTGAAGTAGAATAAATATAAGAAATCTGACAAAATAAGAATATCTTACCTCACACACAATTCAAAATACATTTTTGGTGTAAAGCTGAAACCAAACAGTCTGTAAGCGGTGTGCAGCAAATAGAAAAATAATCTATTGTTCCAGATTCATGACTGCTGCAAAGACAGTGCTGCTTTTAAAGTGTCGGTGCATGAGCTGACCAATCATCGCACTGATGAAGTCATTGGAATCAGCTTGGGAACTCCGCCCTCTGGCAACCTGGGCAGGTGTTCACACTTTAGCTAATTTGACACATTTCAACATTTCAGTCAGTTTAACCAAATGATAACCTTTACCTGGCCGCGAGACAAAATTCCCCTGACAGGCGATAATAGTTTGATAGTAGTTTTGTTTTTGTTTAATTTTCCTCCTTCAATACCACAGAGGTATTAGTAAGACCCAGAAACTAAGACCTAAAAAGTGTAAGCTTTTGATCTTAAAACACTATGAAATGACAAGCTGTATTCAAATCAAACACATATGTATAGGGTGCAGCACTGTCTACAGCACAGCACAAGTAGAGTTTCAAAGAAGATCCAAAGAGTGTGTGTTCCAATTATTTTATTAAATTCAAAGTTGATGCCAGTTCAGACTGCTTCCAGGCAAGTACAGGAACCTGAGAACAGAAAATACAATTTAGAACATTTGCAAAGCATTTCCCTTACTTTATTGTAGCAATCTTTAAGTTAAACCAACTTACAGTTAGGAAGGTCAATGATGTCTGTTCTACACCGGCACCAGTTGCCACCTGGGCTGGAACAGGAATGACATTGGAATTTCTTGGGTCAACATTCAAGTGCGAGTTTGAGTCAGTGGGCTGCACATTAGAGCCAGAAGCAACACTTCCTTGGGAAGGAATGTCCCACATGCCAGCTTTACTTTGGAGCACCCCTTGCAGGGGTTTGGTCTGCTGAGGTTTGGTCTGCTGAGGGTTTGAAGGGTAGGCAGGATGCTGGGGTTTGGGCTGGTACCTAGACTGCAGGGGATTTGAAGGGTCGGAAGGCTGCTGGGGTTTTGGCCGGTACCTAGACTGCAGGGGACTTGAAGGGTTGGTAGCCCGCTGGGGATTCAAAGGGTATGCTGGCTGGTAGGGCTTGGCCTGCACATTAGAACCAGAAGCACCACTTCCTTCGGAAGGAATGTCCCACATGCCAGCTTTACTTTGGAGCACCCCTTGCAGGGGTTTGGCCTGCTGAGGCTTGGCCTGCTGAAGATTTGAAGGGTAGGCAGGATGCTGGGGTTTTGGCCGGTACCTAGACTGAAGGGGACTTGAAGGGTTGGTAGCCCGCTGGGGATTCAAAGGGTATGCTGGCTGGTAGGGCTTGGCCTGCACATTAGAACCAGAAGCAACACTTCCTTCGGAAGGAATGTCCCACATGCCAGCTTTACTTTGGAGCACCCCTTGCAGGGGTTCGGCCTGCTGAGGCTTGGCCTGCTGAAGATTTGAAGGGTAGGCAGGATGCTGGGGTTTTGGCCGGTACCTAGACTGAAGGGGACTTGAAGGGTCGGAAGGCTGCTGGGGTTTTGGCCGGTACCTAGACTGCAGGGGACTTGAAGGGTTGGTAGCCCGCTGGGGATTCAAAGGGTATGCTGGCTGGTAGGGCTTGGCCTGCACATTAGAACCAGAAGCAACACTTCCTTCAGAAGGAATGTCCCACATGCCAGCTTTACTTTGGAGCACCCCTTGCAGGGGTTCAGCCTGCTGAGGCTTGGCCTGCTGAGGATTTGAAGGGTAGGCAGGATGCTGGGGTTTTGGCCGGTACGTAGACTGCAGGGGACTTGAAGGGTTGGTAGCCCGCTGGGGATTCAAAGGGTATGCTGGCTGGTAGGGCTTGGCCTGCACATTAGAGCCAAAAGCAACACTTCCTTCGGAAGGAATGTCCCACATGCCAGCTTTACTTTGGAGCACCCCTTGCAGGGGTTCGGCCTGCTGAGGATTTGAAGGGGAGGCAGGATGCTGGGGTTTTGGCCGGTACCTAGACTGCAGGGGATTTGAAGGGTAGGAAGGCTGCTGGGGTTTTGGCCGGTACCTAGACTGCAGGGAACTTGAAGGGTTGGTAGCCCACTGGGGATTCAAAGGGTATGCTGGCTGGTAGGGCTTGGCCTGCACATTAGAGCCAGAAGCAACACTTCCTTGGGATGGAATGTCCCACATGCCAGCTTTACTTTGGAGCACCCCTTGCAGGAGTTTGGTCTGCTGAGGTTTGGGCTGCTGAGGGTTTGAAGGGTAGGTAGGATGCTGGGGTTTGCGCTGGTACGTAGACTGCAGGGGACTTGAAGGGTTGGTAGCCCGCTGGGGATTCAAAGGGTATGCTGGCTGGTAGGGCTTGGCCTGTACATTAGAGCCAGAAGCAACACTTCCTTCGGAAGGAATGTCCCACATGCCAGCTTTACTTTGGAGCACCCCTTGCAGGGGTTCGGCCTGCTGAGGCTTGGCCTGCTGAGGATTTGAAGGGTAGGCAGGATGCTGGGGTTTTGGCCGGTACCTAGACTGCAGGGGATTTGAAGGGTAGGAAGGCTGCTGGGGTTTTGGCCGGTACCTAGACTGCAGGGGACTTGAAGGGTTGGTAGCCCACTGGAGATTCAAAGGGTATGCTGGCTGGTAGGGCTTGGCCTGCACATTAGAGCCAGAAGCAACACTTCCTTCGGAAGGAATGTCCCACATGCCAGCTTTACTTTGGAGCACCCCTTGCAGGGGTTCGGCCTGCTGAGGATTTGAAGGGTAGGCAGGATGCTGGGGTTTTGGCCGGTACCTAGACTGCAGGGGATTTGAAGGGTAGGCAGGATGCTGGGGTTTTGGCCGGTACCTAGACTGCAGGGGATTTGAATGGTTGGTAGCCCGCTGGGGATTCAAAGTGTATGCTGGCTGGTAGGGCTTGGCCTGCACATTAGAGCCAGAAGCAACACTTACTTCGGAAGGAATGTCCCACATGCCAGCTTTACTTTGGAGCACCCCTTGCAGGGGTTCGGCCTGCTGAGGATTTGAAGGGTAGGCAGGATGCTGGGGTTTTGGCCGGTACCTAGACTGCAGGGGATTTGAAGGGTAGGAAGGCTGCTGGGGTTTTGGCCGGTACCTAGACTGCAGGGAACTTGAAGGGTTGGTAGCCCACTGGGGATTCAAAGGGTATGCTGGCTGGTAGGGCTTGTCCTGCACGTTAGAGCCAGAAGCAACACTTCCTTCGGAAGGAATGTCCCACATGCCAGCTTTACTTTGGAGCACCCCTTGCAGGGGTTCGGCCTGCTGAGGCTTGGCCTGCTGAGGATTTGAATGGTAGGCAGGATGCTGGGGTTTTGGCCGGTACCTAGACTGCAGGGGATTTGAAGGGTAGGCAGGATGCTGGGGTTTTGGCCGGTACCTAGACTGCTGGGGATTTGAAGGGTTAGTAGCCCGCTGGGGATTCAAAGGGTATGCTGGCTGGTAGGGCTTGTCCTGCACGTTAGAGCCAGAAGCAACACTTACTTCGGAAGGAATGTCCGACATGCCAGCTTTACTTTGGAGCACCCCTTGCAGGGGTTCGGCCTGCTGAGGATTTGAAGGGTAGGCAGGATGCTGGGGTTTTGGCCGGTACCTAGACTGCAGGGGATTTGAAGGGTTGGTAGCCTGCTGAGGATTTGAAGGGTAGGAAGGCTGGTTGGCCTTGGTCTGCTGGGGTTTAGGCCGGTACCCTAGACTGCAGGGGATTTGAAGAGTTTGTGGCCTGCTGAAGTTTCAAAGGGTAGGAGGGCTGGTAGGGCTTGGCCTGCTGAGGAATTGAAGGATTTGCATCCTGCTGAGGTTTGGGTCGGTACCAAGACTGCAGGGGATTTGAAGGGTTGGCGGCCTGCTGAGGTTTGGGCTGGTGGGGCTTTGGAAGGTTTTTGGGCTGCTGGGGCTTGGATGGCACTGCAGAGTAGGGACCAGAGTGCATCACAAGTGCAGAACTTGAAGCAATACCAGACTGTAAAGAGTTTGGATTATAGGGCAAAGGGAAAGCCCACTGGGCAGCTTTGGTTGGAAGGACACCATTTGCACTAGGATTAGCTTGAGGTAGTTGGTTTGGTTTACTAATTATTGGTTGGCTTGGCCCGTAACTAGAAACACTTCCCTCAGGACTGTAACCATCTACTTGCCTACCATGAGAGCCACTATAACCTCCTGCACTTGGTGCAGCAGCTGGCTTCAGAGTCTCAGATAAAGCCCCATCAGCATGAAAGGGTGAATAACTACCCAAAACCCTCTCAGGCTGTGCTGAACTATCATCACTGGAAATGGAAGCAGGTTTAAGAACTCTTGAAAAATCAAAGTGAGGTGTAATGCCACTGGAGCCTCCACTTCTGTAGCTGAGTGCTAAAAGGAAAACACATTTTTTTAAAAGACAGCCTTATAGGAAAATTATACATTTCAACTGCAGCTTGTGAACCATAAATCCTTACCCTTTGCTTGCTGCCCAAAAATCAAGAGAGAGAGCACAAGAACTCTAAGAAAAGAGGAATTAAACATGAGCCAACCAAAAACAGTTAAGTAGAATAAATATAAGAAATCTGCCAAAATAAGAATATCTTACCTCACACACAATTCAAAATACATTTTTGGTGTAAAGCTGAAACCAAACAGTCTGTAAGCGGTGTGCAGCAAATACAAAAATAATCTATTGTTCCAGATTCATGACTGCTGCAAAGACAGTGCTGCTTTTAAAGTGTTGGTATATGAGCTGACCAATCATCGCACTGATGAAGTCATTGGAATCAGCTTGGGAACTCCGCCCTCTGGCAACCTGGGCAGGTGTTCACACTTTAGCTAATTTGACACATTTCATTCTGTCAGCAGATCTGATTTAAAAGTCAGTTTAACCAAATGATAACCTTTACCTGGCCGCAAGGCAAAATTCCCCTGACAGGCGATAATAGTTTGATAGTAGTTTTGTTTTTGTTTATTGAGGTTTTGATTTAATTTTCCTCCTTCAATACCACAGAGATATTAGTTTCTGCTAAGACCTACAAAGTGTAAGCTTTTGATCTTAAAAACACTATGAAATGACAAGCTGTATTCAAATCAAACATATGTATACATATTAACATATGTTTAAGATTTAATTTATATATACGTTCCACTGCAAATAAGATATTGTTCTCTTCCACTGAAGTTGAGATCTTATGGGACCTTTTACCACTGTATGATTACTTAAAAACAAATATGCTTGTGATTTGAAAATGATTTTGGAAGTGTTTTGGCTTATTGAAAACCACATTTTATATTACTGCTTATAATTTTCCAAAGCAAATAATTAGACTCAAATACTGTAAATGTTCTTTCCTCCAAGCAGCCATTGATTATAGGACACTATAAAGGTCACCTGCAGTGACTGAAAGCACTTTTTGTATCACACTTATGGTTTCAGTAAAGAGAGACACAGCTGACAAAGACACAAACTATTTTATTAGCCATCATTCATGATACTCGTTTCACAAAAAATGTAATTCAAACAATGTTTCATTATTTTTTACATTACAAAGAAAACAAACGATTTTTATGTCCCAACTCAAGGCTACACATTTACCATTATTTCAATTGCTAGATATTAATATAAATATTTTAGCAATATATAACATTATATATATATATATGAGCATAAAACATGTAGATACATCATTCTTAAAACACCAACTGAGAGCCAATAATTGAGGCGATACTGCTAAAATAGGGAGGGAGAAGTAATGATTCAGACGGGAGTAAAAGAGTATAGTAAAAGATACACATTTAAATTGAAAAATAAAATAATTTAGAACTGTACATAGAGAGAAGGAAGATGGAAAGAAGGATAGAGGACAGAAAGAAAAATGTGTGAACGTTGTGGGGGTCTGTTAGCTGAGTTTGAGGCCGAGGCAGAGAGCCAGCTCGTTCTTCTGGATCTTTCCGTCTCCGTTGATGTCGCGGTGACCCATCAGAGCTTTCCTGAACTTGTCCAGGTCTGTGCCACTGATGCTGGGCTGGAGGAGAGGGTCGGGGGGTGGAAGAGTTAGAGAGGTCAGAAGACTCCTGATGAATGACACTGACTGATATCTGATCAATAACATTGTGTATCAGCTCTGTATAAGGGAATCTAAGGGCACCTTCACCAGCTCCATCATATCTTTGACAAATCCATCCACCTCAGGGCCCTCCAGCTCACCCGTCTTACTCTAGAAGGCATACTTTTTTTATTCTCTCAGTTTTTCAATCTGTTGTTGATTAACAGTTACACACATGCCTAACCGGACCTATACACATTAGGCCCGAAATACAAACATATGCATTATATGACAATCAATTCAGCAACATGGAATAAAGCCTAAACTGCAATGTTTCTGAAGATGTTGTTTTAAGTGATACAAGTTTGTCATGTGTAGTCCAATAAACCTCATTAGGAACCACAGAGTCTGACACTTTGAAATAATGTTGGACACTCATCCTTGAAAGTTCTCAGCCTTTAAGTCATCAAACTTTCAAATGTTAAGTGAAGAACATTCTTAGTCAAGTCTTTTAAACTTGCTGTCAATACATATTTGCAAACACATTACTGTGCGCTGCTGTTCACAATGTTATTGTACCTAGCCAGGAAAACAAACCCCTGAAGTTCAAAGGAAACAAGCAAGTGGTTGTGGACATGTTCAGAAAGTAAGGGTGCAGCACTGTCTACAGCACAGCACAAGTATAGTTTCAAAGAACATCCAAAGAGTGTGTGTTCCAATTATTTTATTAAATTCAAAGTTGATGCCAGTTCAGACTGCTTCCAGGCAAGTCCAGGAACCTGAGAACAGAAAATACAATTTAGAACATTTGCAAAGCATTTCCCTTACTTCATTGTAGCAATCTTTAAGTTAAACCAACTTACAGTTAGGAAGGTCAATGATGTCTGTTCTACACTGGCACCAGTTGCTGTTGCCACCTGGGCTGGTACAGGAATGACATTGGAATTGCTTGGGTCAACATTCAAGTGCGAGTTTGAGTCAGTGGCCTGCACATTAGAGCCAGAAGCAACACTTCCTTGGGAAGGAATGTCCCACATGCCAGCTTTACTTTGGAGCACCCCTTGCAGGGGTTTGGTCTGCTGAGGTTTGGGCTGCTGAGGGTTTGAAGGGTAGGTAGGATGCTGGGGTTTGGGCTGGTACGTAGACTGCAGGGGACTTGAAGGGTTGGTAGCCCGCTGGGGATTCAAAGGGTATGCTGGCTGGTAGGGCTTGGCCTGCACATTAGAACCAGAAGCAACACTTCCTTCAGAAGGAATGTCCCACATGCCAGCTTTACTTTGGAGCACCCCTTGCAGGGGTTCGGCCTGCTGAGGCTTGGCCTGCTGAGGATTTGAAGGGTAGGCAGGATGCTGGGGTTTTGGCCGGTACGTAGACTGCAGGGGATTTGAAGGGTAGGAAGGCTGCTGGGGTTTTGGCCGGTACCTAGACTGCAGGGGACTTGAAGGGTTGGTAGCCCGCTGGGGATTCAAAGGGTATGCTGGCTGGTAGGGCTTGGCCTGCACATTAGAGCCAGAAGCAACACTTCCTTCGGAAGGAATGTCCCACATGCCAGCTTTACTTTGGAGCACCCCTTGCAGGGGTTCGGCCTGCTGAGGATTTGAAGGGTAGGCAGGATGCTGGGGTTTTGGCCGGTACCTAGACTGCAGGGGATTTGAAGGGTAGGAAGGCTGCTGGGGTTTGGCCGGTACCTAGACTGCAGGGGACTTGAAGGGTTGGTAGCCCGCTGGGGATTCAAAGGGTATGCTGGCTGGTAGGGCTTGGCCTGCACATTAGAGCCAGAAGCAACACTTCCTTCGGAAGGAATGTCCCACATGCCAGCTTTACTTTGGAGCACCCCTTGCAGGGGTTCGGCCTGCTGAGGATTTGAAGGGTAGGCAGGATGCTGGGGTTTTGGCCGGTACCTAGACTGCAGGGGATTTGAAGGGTAGGAAGGCTGCTGGGGTTTTGGCCGGTACCTAGACTGCAGGGGACTTGAAGGGTTGGTAGCCCACTGGAGATTCAAAGGGTATTCTGGCTGGTAGGGCTTGGCCTGCACATTAGAGCCAGAAGCAACACTTCCTTGGGAAGGAATGTCCCACATGCCAGCTTTACTTTGGAGCACCCCTTGCAGGGGTTCGGCCTGCTGAGGCTTGGCCTGCTGAGGATTTGAAGGGTAGGCAGGATGCTGGGGTTTTGGCCGGTACCTAGACTGCAGGGGATTTGAAGGGTAGGAAGGCTGCTGGGGTTTTGGCCGGTACCTAGACTGCAGGGGACTTGAAGGGTTGGTAGCCCACTGGAGATTCAAAGGGTATGCTGGCTGGTAGGGCTTGGCCTGCACATTAGAGCCAGAAGCAACACTTCCTTCGGAAGGAATGTCCCACATGCCAGCTTTACTTTGGAGCACCCCTTGCAGGGGTTCGGCCTGCTGAGGATTTGAAGGGTAGGCAGGATGCTGGGATTTTGGCCGGTACCTAGACTGCAGGGGACTTGAAGGGTTGGTAGCCCACTGGAGATTCAAAGGGTATGCTGGCTGGTAGGGCTTGGCCTGCACATTAGAGCCAGAAGCAACACTTACTTCGGAAGGAATGTCCCACATGCCAGCTTTACTTTGGAGCACCCCATGCAAGGGTTCGGCCTGCTGAGGGTTGGCCTGCTGAGGATTTGAAGGGTAGGCAGGATGCTGGGGTTTTGGCCGGTACGTGGACTGCAGGGGATTTGAAGGGTAGGAAGGCTGCTGGGGTTTTGGCCGGTACCTAGACTGCAGGGGACTTGAAGGGTTGGTAGCCCGCTGGGGATTCAAAGGGTATGCTGGCTGGTAGGGCTTGGCCTGCACATTAGAGCCAGAAGCAACACTTCCTTCGGAAGGAATGTCCCACATGCCAGCTTTACTTTGGAGCACCCCTTGCAGGGGTTCGGCCTGCTGAGGATTTGAAGGGTAGGCAGGATGCTGGGGTTTTGGCCGGTACCTAGACTGCAGGGGATTTGAAGGGTAGGAAGGCTGCTGGGGTTTTGGCCGGTACCTAGACTGCAGGGGACTTGAAGGGTTGGTAGCCCGCTGGGGATTCAAAGGGTATGCTGGCTGGTAGGGCTTGGCCTGCACATTAGAGCCAGAAGCAACACTTCCTTCGGAAGGAATGTCCCACATGCCAGCTTTACTTTGGAGCACCCCTTGCAGGGGTTCGGCCTGCTGAGGATTTGAAGGGTAGGCAGGATGCTGGGGTTTTGGCCGGTACCTAGACTGCAGGGGATTTGAAGGGTTGGTAGCCTGCTGAGGATTTGAAGGGTAGGAATGCTGGTTGGCCTTGGTCTGCTGGGGTTTAGGCCGGTACCTAGACTGCAGGGGATTTGAAGAGTTTGTGGCCTGCTGAAGTTTCAAAGGGTAGGAGGGCTGGTAGGGCTTGGCCTGCTGAGGAATTGAAGGATTTGCATCCTGCTGAGGTTTGGGTCGGTACCAAGACTGCAGGGGATTTGAAGGGTTGGCGGCCTGCTGAGGTTTGGGCTGGTGGGGCTTGGATGGCACTGCAGAGTAGGGACCAGAGTGCATCACAAGTGCAGAACTTGAAGCAATACCAGACTGTAAAGAGTTTGGATTATGGGGCAAAGGGAAAGCCCACTGGGCAGCTTTGGTTGGAAGGACACCATTTGCACTAGGATTAGCTTGAGGTAGTTGGTTTGGTTTACTAATTATTGGTTGGCTTGGCCCGTAACTAGAAACACTTCCCTCAGGACTGTAACCATCTACTTGCCTACCATGAGAGCCACTATAACCTCCTGCACTTGGTGCAGCAGCTGGCTTCAGAGTCTCAGATAAAGCCCCATCAGCATGAAAGGGTGAATAACTACCCAAAACCCTCTCAGGCTGTGCTGAACTATCATCACTGGAAGTGGAAGCAGGTTTAAGAACTCTTGAAAAATCAAAGTGAGGTGTAATGCCACTGGAGCCTCCACTTCTGTAGCTGAGTGCTAAAAGGAAAACACATTTTTTTAAAAGACAGCCTTATAGGAAAATTATACATTTCAACTGCAGCTTGTGAACCATAAATCCTTACCCTTTGCTTGCTGCCCAAAAATCAAGAGAGAGAGCACAAGAACTCTAAGAAAAGAGGAATTAAACATGAGCCAACCAAAAACAGTTAAGTAGAATAAATATAAGAAATCTGCCAAAATAAGAATATCTTACCTCACACACAATTCAAAATACATTTTTGGTGTAAAGCTGAAACCAAACAGTCTGTAAGCGGTGTGCAGCAAATACAAAAATAATCTATTGTTCCAGATTCATGACTGCTGCAAAGACAGTGCTGCTTTTAAAGTGTTGGTATATGAGCTGACCAATCATCGCACTGATGAAGTCATTGGAATCAGCTTGGGAACTCCGCCCTCTGGCAACCTGGGCAGGTGTTCACACTTTAGCTAATTTGACACATTTCAACATTTCAGTCAGTTTAACCAAATGATAACCTTTACCTGGCCGCTAGGCAAAATTCCCCTGACAGGCGATAATAGTTTGATAGTAGTTTTGTTTTTGTTTATTGAGGTTTTGATTTAATTTTCCTCCTTCAATACCACAGAGATATTAGTTTCTGCTAAGACCTACAAAGTGTAAGCTTTTGATCTTAAAACACTATGAAATGACAAGCTGTATTCAAATCAAACATATCTATACATATTAACATATGTTTAAGATTTAATTTATATATATGTTCCACTGCAAATAAGATATTGTTCTCTTCCACTGAAGTTGAGAGATCTTATGGGACCTTTTACCACTGTATGATTACTTAAAAACAAATATGCTTGTGATTTGAAAATGATTTTGGAAGTGTTTTGGCTTATTGAAAACCACATATTTTATATTACTGCTTATAATTTTCCAAAGCAAATAATTAGACTCAAATACTGTAAATGTTCTTTCCTCCAAGCAGCCATTGATTATAGGACACTATAAAAGTCACCTGCAGTGACTGAAAGCACTTTTTGTAGCACACTTATGGTTTCAGTAAAGAGAGACACAGCTGACAAAGACACAAACTATTTTATTAGCCATCATTCATGATACTCGTTTCACAAAAAATGTAATTCAAACAATGTTTCATTATTTTTTACATTAAAGAAAACAAACGATTTTTATGTCCCAACTCATGGCTCCACATTTACCATTATTTAAATTGCTCGATATTTTAATATAAATATTATAGCAATATATAACATTATATATATATATGAGCATAAAACATGTAGATACATCATTCTTAAAACACCAACTGAGAGCCAATAATTGAGGCGATACTGCTAAAATAGGGAGGGAGAAGTAATGATTCAGACGGGAGTAAATGAGTATAGTAAAAGATACACATTTAAATTGAAAAATAAAATAATTTAGAACTGTACATAGAGAGAAGGAAGATGGAAAGAAGGATAGAGGAAAGAAAGAAAAATGTGTGAACGTTGTGGTCTGTTAGCTGAGTTTGAGGCCGAGGCAGAGAGCCAGCTCGTTCTTCTGGATCTTTCCGTCTCCGTTGATGTCGCGGTGACCCATCAGAGCTTTCCTGAACTTGTCCAGGTCTGTGCCACTGATGCTGGGCTGGAGGAGAGGGTCGGGGGGTGGAAGAGTTAGAGAGGTCAGAAGACTCCTGATGAATGACACTGACTGATATCTGATCAATAACATTGTGTATCAGCTCTGTATAAGGGAATCTAAGGGCACCTTCACCAGCTCCATCATATCTTTGACAAATCCATCCACCTCAGGGCCCTCCAGCTCACCCGTCTTACTCTAGAAGGCATACTTTTTTATTCTCAGTGTTTCAATCTGTTGTTGATTAACAGTTACACACATGCCTAACAGGACCTATACACATTAGGCCCAAAATACACAAACATATGCATTATATAACAATCAATTCAGCAACATGGAATAAAGCCTAAACTGCAATGTTTCTGAAGATGTTGTTTTAAGTGATACAAGTTTGTCATGTGTAGTCCAATAAACCTCATTAGGAACCAGAGTCTGACACTTTGAAATAATGTTGGACACTCATCCTTGAAAGTTCTCAGCCTTTAAGTCATCAAACTTTCAAATGTTAAGTGAAGAACATTCTTAGTCAAGTCTTTTAAACTTGCTGGTCAATACATATTTGAATACACATTACTGTGAGCTGCTGTTCACAATGTTATTGTACCTTGCCAGGAAAACAAACCCCTGAAGTTCAAAGGAAACAAGCAAGTGGTTGTGGACATGTTCAGAAAGTAAGGGTGCAGCACTGTCTACAGCACAGCACAAGTAAAGTTTCAAATAACATCCAAAGAGTGTGTTCCAAGTATTTTATTAAATTCAAAGTTGATGCCAGTTCAGACTGCTTCCAGGCAAGTCCAGGAACCTGAGAACAGAAAATACAATTTAGAACATTTGCAAAGCATTTCCCTTACTTCATTGTAGCAATCTTTAAGTTAAACCAACTTACAGTTAGGAAGGTCAATGATGTCTGTTCTACACTGGCACCAGTTGCTGTTGCCACCTGGGCTGGTACAGGAATGACATTGGAATTTCTCTCAAACTTGTTGGGTCAACATTCAAGTGCGAGTTTGAGTCAGTGGGCTGCACATTAGAGCCAGAAGCAACACTTCCTTGGGAAGGAATGTCCCACATGCCAGCTTTACTTTGGAGCACCCCTTGCAGGGGTTCAGCCTGCTGAGGTTTGGGCTGCTGAGGGTTTGAAGGGTAGGAACGCTGGTCGGGGCTTGGCCTGCTGAGGATTTGAAGGGTAGGAACGCTGGAAGGGCTTGGCCTGCTCAGGATTTGAAGGGTAGGAACGCTGGTCGGGCTTGGCCTGCTGAGGATTTGAAGGGTAGGAACGCTGGAAGGGCTTGGCCTGCTCAGGATTTGAAGGGTAGGAACGCTGGTCGGGCTTGGCCTGCTGAGGATTTGAAGGGTAGGAACGCTGGTAGGGCTTGGCCTGCTGAGGATTTGAAGGGTAGGAACGCTGGTAGGGCTTGGCCTGCTGAGGATTTGAAGGGTAGGAAGGCTGGTTGGGCTTGGTCTGCTGGGGTTTGGGCCAGTACCTAGACTGCAGGGGATTTGAAGGGTTTGCGGCCTGCTGGAGTTTCAAAGGGTAGGAGGGCTGGTAGGGCTTGGCCTGCTGAGGAATTGAAGGATTTGCAGCCTGCTGAGGTTTGGGTCGGTACCAAGACTGCAGGGGATTTGAAGGGTTGGCGGCCTGCTGAGGTTTGGGCTGGTGGGGCTTAGGCTTGTAGCGGGCCTGCTGGGGCTTTGGAAGGTTTTTGGGCTCCTGGGGCTTGGATGGCACTGCAGAGTAGGGACCAGAGTGCATCACAATTGCAGAACTTGAAGCAATACCAGACTGAAAAGAGTTTGGATTATGGGGCAAAGGGAAAGCCCACAGCGCAGCTTTGGTTGGAAGCACACCATTTGCACTAGGGTTAGCTTGAGGTAGTTGGTTTGGTTTACGAATTATTGGTTGGCTTGGCCCGTAACTAGAAACACTTCCCTCAGGACTGTAACCATCTACTTGCCTACCATGAGAGCCACTTGGTGCAGCAGCTGGCTTCAGAGTCTTAGATAATGCCCCATCAGCATGAAAGGGTGAATAACTACCCAAAACCCTCTCAGGCTGTGCTGAACTATCATCACTGGAAGTGGAAGCAGGTTTAAGTCTTCTTGAAAAATGAAAGCGAGTTGTAATGCCACTGGGGCCTACAATTCTGGAGCTGAGTGCTAAAAGGAGAACACATTTTTTAAAAGACAGCCTTATAGGAAAATTATACATTTCAACTGCAGCTTGTGAACCATAAATCCTTACCCTTTGCTTGCTGCCCAAAAATCAAGAGTGAGAGCACAAGAACTCTAAGAAAAGAGGAATTAAACATGAGCCAACCAAAAACAGTGAAGTAGAATAAATATAAGAAATCTGCCAAAATAAGAATATCTTACCTCACACACAATTCAAAATACATTTTTGGTGTAAAGCTGAAACCAAACAGTCTGTAAGCGGTGTGCAGCAAATAGAAAAATAATCTATTGTTCCAGATTCATGACTGCTGCAAAGACAGTGCTGCTTTTAAAGTGTCGGTGCATGAGCTGACCAATCATCGCACTGATGAAGTCATTGGAATCAGCTTGGGAACTCCGCCCTCTGGCAACCTGGGCAGGTGTTCACACTTTAGCTAATTTGACACATTTCAACATTTCAGTCAGTTTAACCAAATGATAACCTTTACCTGGCCGCGAGACAAAATTCCCCTGACAGGCGATAATAGTTTGATAGTAGTTTTGTTTTTGTTTATTGAGGTTTTGATTTAATTTTCCTCCTTCAATACCACAGAGGTATTAGTAAGACCCAGAAACTAAGACCTAAAAAGTGTAAGCTTTTGATCTTAAAACACTATGAAATGACAAGCTGTATTCAAATCAAACACATATGTATAGGGTGCAGCACTGTCTACAGCACAGCACAAGTAGAGTTTCAAAGAAGATCCAAAGAGTGTGTGTTCCAATTATTTTATTAAATTCAAAGTTGATGCCAGTTCAGACTGCTTCCAGGCAAGTACAGGAACCTGAGAACAGAAAATACAATTTAGAACATTTGCAAAGCATTTCCCTTACTTTATTGTAGCAATCTTTAAGTTAAACCAACTTACAGTTAGGAAGGTCAATGATGTCTGTTCTACACCGGCACCAGTTGCCACCTGGGCTGGAACAGGAATGACATTGGAATTTCTTGGGTCAACATTCAAGTGCGAGTTTGAGTCAGTGGGCTGCACATTAGAGCCAGAAGCAACACTTCCTTGGGAAGGAATGTCCCACATGCCAGCTTTACTTTGGAGCACCCCTTGCAGGGGTTTGGTCTGCTGAGGTTTGGTCTGCTGAGGGTTTGAAGGGTAGGCAGGATGCTGGGGTTTGGGCTGGTACCTAGACTGCAGGGGATTTGAAGGGTCGGAAGGCTGCTGGGGTTTTGGCCGGTACCTAGACTGCAGGGGACTTGAAGGGTTGGTAGCCCGCTGGGGATTCAAAGGGTATGCTGGCTGGTAGGGCTTGGCCTGCACATTAGAACCAGAAGCACCACTTCCTTCGGAAGGAATGTCCCACATGCCAGCTTTACTTTGGAGCACCCCTTGCAGGGGTTTGGCCTGCTGAGGCTTGGCCTGCTGAAGATTTGAAGGGTAGGCAGGATGCTGGGGTTTTGGCCGGTACCTAGACTGAAGGGGACTTGAAGGGTTGGTAGCCCGCTGGGGATTCAAAGGGTATGCTGGCTGGTAGGGCTTGGCCTGCACATTAGAACCAGAAGCAACACTTCCTTCGGAAGGAATGTCCCACATGCCAGCTTTACTTTGGAGCACCCCTTGCAGGGGTTCGGCCTGCTGAGGCTTGGCCTGCTGAAGATTTGAAGGGTAGGCAGGATGCTGGGGTTTTGGCCGGTACCTAGACTGAAGGGGACTTGAAGGGTCGGAAGGCTGCTGGGGTTTTGGCCGGTACCTAGACTGCAGGGGACTTGAAGGGTTGGTAGCCCGCTGGGGATTCAAAGGGTATGCTGGCTGGTAGGGCTTGGCCTGCACATTAGAACCAGAAGCAACACTTCCTTCGGAAGGAATGTCCCACATGCCAGCTTTACTTTGGAGCACCCCTTGCAGGGGTTCGGCCTGCTGAGGCTTGGCCTGCTGAAGATTTGAAGGGTAGGCAGGATGCTGGGGTTTTGGCCGGTACCTAGACTGCAGGGGATTTGAAGGGTAGGAAGGCTGCTGGGGTTTTGGCCGGTACCTAGACTGCAGGGGACTTGAAGGGTTGGTAGCCCGCTGGGGATTCAAAGGGTATGCTGGCTGGTAGGGCTTGGCCTGCACATTAGAGCCAGAAGCAACACTACCTTCGGAAGGAATGTCCCACATGCCAGCTTTACTTTGGAGCACCCCTTGCAGGGGTTCGGCCTGCTGAGGCTTGGCCTGCTGAGGATTTGAAGGGTAGGCAGGATGCTGGGGTTTTGGCCGGTACCTAGACTGCAGGGGATTTGAAGGGTCGGAAGGCTGCTGGGGTTTTGGCCGGTACCTAGACTGCAGGGGACTTGAAGGGTTGGTAGCCCGCTGGGGATTCAAAGGGTATGCTGGCTGGTAGGGCTTGGCCTGCACATTAGAACCAGAAGCAACACTTCCTTCGGAAGGAATGTCCCACATGCCAGCTTTACTTTGGAGCACCCCTTGCAGGGGTTCGGCCTGCTGAGGCTTGGCCTGCTGAAGATTTGAAGGGTAGGCAGGATGCTGGGGTTTTGGCCGGTACCTAGACTGCAGGGGATTTGAAGGGTAGGAAGGCTGCTGGGGTTTTGGCCGGTACCTAGACTGCAGGGGACTTGAAGGGTTGGTAGCCCGCTGGGGATTCAAAGGGTATGCTGGCTGGTAGGGCTTGGCCTGCACATTAGAGCCAGAAGCAACACTACCTTCGGAAGGAATGTCCCACATGCCAGCTTTACTTTGGAGCACCCCTTGCAGGGGTTCGGCCTGCTGAGGCTTGGCCTGCTGAGGATTTGAAGGGTAGGCAGGATGCTGGGGTTTTGGCCGGTACCTAGACTGCAGGGGATTTGAAGGGTAGGAAGGCTGCTGGAGTTTTGGCCGGTACCTAGACTGCAGGGGACTTGAAGGGTTGGTAGCCCGCTGAGGATTTGAAGGGTAGGAAGGCTGGTTGGCCTTGGTCTGCTGGGCTTTAGGCCGGTACCTAGACTGCAGGGGATTTGAAGAGTTTGCGGCCTGCTGAAGTTTCAAAGGGTAGGAGGGCTGGTAGGGCTTGGCCTGCTGAGGAATTGAAGAATTTGCAGCCTGCTGAGGTTTGGGTCGGTACCAAGACTGCAGGGGATTTGAAGGGTTGGCGGCCTGCTGAGGTTTGGGCTGGTGGGGCTTTGGAAGGTTTTTGGGCTGCTGGGGCTTGGATGGCACTGCAGAGTAGGGACCAGAGTGCATCACAAGTGCAGAACTTGAAGCAATACCAGACTGAAAAGAGTTTGGATTATGGGGCAAAGGGAAAGCCCACTGGGCAGCTTTGGTTGGAAGGACACCATTTGCACTAGGGTTAGCTTGAGGTAGTTGGTTTGGTTTACTAATTATTGGTTGGCTTGGCCCGTAACTAGAAACACTTCCCTCAGGACTGTAACCATCTACTTGCCTACCATGAGAGCCACTATAACCTCCTGCACTTGGTGCAGCAGCTGGCTTAAGAGTCTCAGATAAAGCCCCATCAGCATGAAAGGGTGAATAACTACCCAAAACCCTCTCAGGCTGTGCTGAACTATCATCACTGGAAGTGGAAGCAGGTTTAAGACTTCTTGAAAAATCAAAGTGAGGTGTAATGCCACTGGAGCCTCCACTTCTGTAGCTGAGTGCTAAAAGGAGAACACATTTTTTAAAAGACAGGCTTATAGGAAAATTATACATTTCAACTGCAGCTTGTGAACCATAAATCCTTACCCGTTGCTTGCTGCCCAAAAATCAAGAGTGAGAGCACAAGAACTCTAAGAAAAGAGGAATTAAACATGAGCCAACCAAAAACAGTTAAGTAGAATACATATAAGAAATCTGCCAAAATAAGAATATCTTACCTCACACACAATTCAAAATACATTTTTGGTGTAAAGCTGAAACCAAACCGTCTGTAAGCGGTGTGCAGCAAATACAAAAATAATCTATTGTTTCAGATTCATGACTGCTGGAAAGACAGTGCTGCTTTTAAAGTGTTGGTATATGAGCTGACCAATCATCGCACTGATGAAGTCATTGGAATCAGCTTGGGAAATCCGCCCTCTGGCAACCTGGGCAGGTGTTCACACTTTAGCTAATTTGACACATTTCAACATTTCAGTCAGTTTAACCAAATGATAACTTTTACCTGGCCGCTAGGCAAAATTCCCCTGACAGGCGATAATAGTTTGATAGTAGTTTTGTTTTTGTTTATTGAGGTTTTGATTTAATTTTCCTCCTTCAATACCGCAGAGGTATTAGTAACACCCAGAAACTAAGACCTAAAAAGTGTAAGCTTTTGATCTTAAAACACTATGAAATGACAAGCTGTATTCAAATCAAACACATATGTTTACATATTAACATATGTTTAAGATTTAATTTATATATATGTTCCACTGCAAATAAGATATTGTTCTCTTCCACTGAAGTTGAGAGATCTTATGGGACCTTTTACCACTGTATGATTACTTAAAAACAAATATGCTTGTGATTTGAAAATGATTTTGGAAGTGTTTTGGCTTATTGAAAACCACATATTTTATATTACTGCTTATAATTTTTCAAAGCACATGAGTCTCAAATACTGTAAATGGTCTTTCCTCCAAGCAGCCATTGATTATAGGACACTATAAAAGTCACCTGCAGTGACTGAAAGCACTTTTTGTAGCACACTTATGGTTTCAGTAAAGAGAGACACAGCTGACAAAGACACAAACTATTTTATTAGCCATCATTCATGATACTCGTTTCACAAAAAATGTAATTCAAACTGTTTATTTTTTACATTACAAAGAAAACAAACTATTTTTATGTCTCAACTCAAGGCTACACATTTACCATTATTTGAATTGCTAGATATTTTAATATAAATATTATAGCAATATATAACATATTATATATATGAACATAAAACATGTAGATAACACATTCTTAAAACACCAACTGAGAGCCAATAATTGAGGCAATACTGCGAAAATAGGGAGGGAGAAGTAATGATTCAGATGGGAGTAAAAGAGTATAGTAAAAGATCCACATTTAAATTGAAAAATAAAATAATTTAGAACTGTACATAGAGAGAAGGAAGATGGAAAGAAGGATAGAGGAAAGAAAGAAAAATGTGTGAACGTTGTGGTGGTCTGTTAGCCGAGTTTGAGGCCGAGGCAGAGAGCCAGCTCGTTCTTCTGGATCTTTCCGTCTCCGTTGATGTCGCGGTGACCCATCAGAGCTTTCCTGAACTTGTCCAGGTCTGTGCCACTGATGCTGGGCTGGAGGAGAGGGTCGGGGGGTGGAAGAGTTAGAGAGGTCAGAAGACTCCTGATGAATGACACTGACTGATATCTGATCAATAACATTGTGTATCAGCTCTGTATAAGGGAATCTAAGGGCACCTTCACCAGCTCCATCATATCTTTGACAAATCCATCCACCTCAGGGCCCTCCAGCTCACCCGTCTTACTCTAGAAGGCATACTTTTTTTATTCTCAGTTTTTCAATCTGTTGTTGATTAACAGTTACACACATGCCTAACCGGACCTATACACATTAGGCCCGAAATACAAACATATGCATTATATGACAATCAATTCAGCAACATGGAATAAAGCCTAAACTGCAATGTTTCTGAAGATGTTGTTTTAAGTGATACAAGTTTGTCCTGTGTAGTCCAATAAACCTCATTAGGAACCACAGAGTCTGACACTTTGAAATAATGTTGGACACTCATCCTTGAAAGTTCTCAGCCTTTAAGTCATCAAACTTTCAAATGTTAAGTGAAGAACATTCTTAGTCAAGTCTTTTAAACTTGCTGGTCAATACATATTTGCAAACACATTAGTGCGCTGCTGTTCACAATGTTATTGTACCTAGCCAGGAAAACAAACCCCTGAAGTTCAAAGGAAACAAGCAAGTGGTTGTGGACATGTTTAGGAAGTAAGGGTGCAGCACTGTCTACAGCACAGCACAAGTACAGTTTCAAAGAACATCCAAAGAGTGTGTGTTCCAATTATTTTATTAAATTCAAAGTTGATGCCAGTTCAGACTGCTTCCAGGCAAGTCCAGGAACCTGAGAACAGAAAATTCAATTTAGAACATTTGCAAAGCATTTCCCTTACTTCATTGTAGCAATCTTTAAGTTAAACCAACTTACAGTTAGGAAGGTCAATGATGTCTGTTCTACACTGGCACCAGTTGCTGTTGCCACCTGGGCTGGTACAGGAATGACATTGGAATTGCTTGGGTCAACATTCAAGTGCGAGTTTGACTCAGTGGCCTGCACATTAGAGCCAGAAGCAACACTTCCTTGGGAAGGAATGTCCCACATGCCAGCTTTACTTTGGAGCACCCCTTGCAGGGGTTTGGTCTGCTGAGGTTTGGGCTGCTGAGGGTTTGAAGGGTAGGTAGGATGCTGGGGTTTGGGCTGGTACGTAGACTGCAGGGGACTTGAAGGGTTGGTAGCCCGCTGGGGATTCAAAGGGTATGCTGGCTGGTAGGGCTTGGCCTGCACATTAGAACCAGAAGCAACACTTCCTTCAGAAGGAATGTCCCACATGCCAGCTTTACTTTGGAGCACCCCTTGCAGGGGTTCAGCCTGCTGTGGCTTGGCCTGCTGAGGATTTGAAGGGTAGGCAGGATGCTGGGGTTTTGGCCGGTACGTAGACTGCAGGGGACTTGAAGGGTTGGTAGCCCGCTGGGGATTCAAAGGGTATGCTGGCTGGTAGGGCTTGGCCTGCACATTAGAGCCAAAAGCAACACTTCCTTCGGAAGGAATGTCCCACATGCCAGCTTTACTTTGGAGCACCCCTTGCAGGGGTTCGGCCTGCTGAGGATTTGAAGGGGAGGCAGGATGCTGGGGTTTTGGCCGGTACCTAGACTGCAGGGGATTTGAAGGGTAGGAAGGCTGCTGGGGTTTTGGCCGGTACCTAGACTGCAGGGAACTTGAAGGGTTGGTAGCCCACTGGGGATTCAAAGGGTATGCTGGCTGGTAGGGCTTGGCCTGCACATTAGAGCCAGAAGCAACACTTCCTTGGGAAGGAATGTCCCACATGCCAGCTTTACTTTGGAGCACCCCTTGCAGGAGTTTGGTCTGCTGAGGTTTGGGCTGCTGAGGGTTTGAAGGGTAGGTAGGATGCTGGGGTTTGGGCTGGTACGTAGACTGCAGGGGACTTGAAGGGTTGGTAGCCCGCTGGGGATTCAAAGGGTATGCTGGCTGGTAGGGCTTGGCCTGCACATTAGAGCCAGAAGCAACACTTCCTTCGGAAGGAATGTCCCACATGCCAGCTTTACTTTGGAGCACCCCTTGCAGGGGTTCGGCCTGCTGAGGCTTGGCCTGCTGAGGATTTGAAGGGTAGGCAGGATGCTGGGGTTTTGGCCGGTACCTAGACTGCAGGGGATTTGAAGGGTAGGAAGGCTGCTGGGGTTTTGGCCGGTACCTAGACTGCAGGGGATTTGAAGGGTAGGCAGGATGCTGGGGTTTTGGCCGGTACCTAGACTGCTGGGGATTTGAAGGGTTAGTAGCCCGCTGGGGATTCAAAGGGTATGCTGGCTGGTAGGGCTTGTCCTGCACGTTAGAGCCAGAAGCAACACTTACTTCGGAAGGAATGTCCGACATGCCAGCTTTACTTTGGAGCACCCCTTGCAGGGGTTCGGCCTGCTGAGGATTTGAAGGGTAGGCAGGATGCTGGGGTTTTGGCCGGTACCTAGACTGCAGGGGATTTGAAGGGTTGGTAGCCTGCTGAGGATTTGAAGGGTAGGAAGGCTGGTTGGCCTTGGTCTGCTGGGGTTTAGGCCGGTACCTAGACTGCAGGGGATTTGAAGAGTTTGTGGCCTGCTGAAGTTTCAAAGGGTAGGAGGGCTGGTAGGGCTTGGCCTGCTGAGGAATTGAAGGATTTGCATCCTGCTGAGGTTTGGGTCGGTACCAAGACTGCAGGGGATTTGAAGGGTTGGCGGCCTGCTGAGGTTTGGGCTGGTGGGGCTTTGGAAGGTTTTTGGGCTGCTGGGGCTTGGATGGCACTGCAGAGTAGGGACCAGAGTGCATCACAAGTGCAGAACTTGAAGCAATACCAGACTGTAAAGAGTTTGGATTATGGGGCAAAGGGAAAGCCCACTGGGCAGCTTTGGTTGGAAGGACACCATTTGCACTAGGATTAGCTTGAGGTAGTTGGTTTGGTTTACTAATTATTGGTTGGCTTGGCCCGTAACTAGAAACACTTCCCTCAGGACTGTAACCATCTACTTGCCTACCATGAGAGCCACTATAACCTCCTGCACTTGGTGCAGCAGCTGGCTTCAGAGTCTCAGATAAAGCCCCATCAGCATGAAAGGGTGAATAACTACCCAAAACCCTCTCAGGCTGTGCTGAACTATCATCACTGGAAATGGAAGCAGGTTTAAGAACTCTTGAAAAATCAAAGTGAGGTGTAATGCCACTGGAGCCTCCACTTCTGTAGCTGAGTGCTAAAAGGAAAACACATTTTTTTAAAAGACAGCCTTATAGGAAAATTATACATTTCAACTGCAGCTTGTGAACCATAAATCCTTACCCTTTGCTTGCTGCCCAAAAATCAAGAGAGAGAGCACAAGAACTCTAAGAAAAGAGGAATTAAACATGAGCCAACCAAAAACAGTTAAGTAGAATAAATATAAGAAATCTGCCAAAATAAGAATATCTTACCTCACACACAATTCAAAATACATTTTTGGTGTAAAGCTGAAACCAAACAGTCTGTAAGCGGTGTGCAGCAAATACAAAAATAATCTATTGTTCCAGATTCATGACTGCTGCAAAGACAGTGCTGCTTTTAAAGTGTTGGTATATGAGCTGACCAATCATCGCACTGATGAAGTCATTGGAATCAGCTTGGGAACTCCGCCCTCTGGCAACCTGGGCAGGTGTTCACACTTTAGCTAATTTGACACATTTCATTCTGTCAGCAGATCTGATTTAAAAGTCAGTTTAACCAAATGATAACCTTTACCTGGCCGCAAGGCAAAATTCCCCTGACAGGCGATAATAGTTTGATAGTAGTTTTGTTTTTGTTTATTGAGGTTTTGATTTAATTTTCCTCCTTCAATACCACAGAGATATTAGTTTCTGCTAAGACCTACAAAGTGTAAGCTTTTGATCTTAAAACACTATGAAATGACAAGCTGTATTCAAATCAAACATATGTATACATATTAACATATGTTTAAGATTTAATTTATATATACGTTCCACTGCAAATAAGATATTGTTCTCTTCCACTGAAGTTGAGATCTTATGGGACCTTTTACCACTGTATGATTACTTAAAAACAAATATGCTTGTGATTTGAAAATGATTTTGGAAGTGTTTTGGCTTATTGAAAACCACATTTTATATTACTGCTTATAATTTTCCAAAGCAAATAATTAGACTCAAATACTGTAAATGTTCTTTCCTCCAAGCAGCCATTGATTATAGGACACTATAAAGGTCACCTGCAGTGACTGAAAGCACTTTTTGTATCACACTTATGGTTTCAGTAAAGAGAGACACAGCTGACAAAGACACAAACTATTTTATTAGCCATCATTCATGATACTCGTTTCACAAAAAATGTAATTCAAACAATGTTTCATTATTTTTTACATTACAAAGAAAACAAACGATTTTTATGTCCCAACTCAAGGCTACACATTTACCATTATTTCAATTGCTAGATATTAATATAAATATTTTAGCAATATATAACATTATATATATATATATGAGCATAAAACATGTATATACATCATTCTTAAAACACCAACTGAGAGCCAATAATTGAGGCGATACTGCTAAAATAGGGAGGGAGAAGTAATGATTCAGACGGGAGTAAAAGAGTATAGTAAAAGATACACATTTAAATTGAAAAATAAAATAATTTAGAACTGTACATAGAGAGAAGGAAGATGGAAAGAAGGATAGAGGACAGAAAGAAAAATGTGTGAACGTTGTGGGGGTCTGTTAGCTGAGTTTGAGGCCGAGGCAGAGAGCCAGCTCGTTCTTCTGGATCTTTCCGTCTCCGTTGATGTCGCGGTGACCCATCAGAGCTTTCCTGAACTTGTCCAGGTCTGTGCCACTGATGCTGGGCTGGAGGAGAGGGTCGGGGGGTGGAAGAGTTAGAGAGGTCAGAAGACTCCTGATGAATGACACTGACTGATATCTGATCAATAACATTGTGTATCAGCTCTGTATAAGGGAATCTAAGGGCACCTTCACCAGCTCCATCATATCTTTGACAAATCCATCCACCTCAGGGCCCTCCAGCTCACCCGTCTTACTCTAGAAGGCATACTTTTTTTATTCTCTCAGTTTTTCAATCTGTTGTTGATTAACAGTTACACACATGCCTAACCGGACCTATACACATTAGGCCCGAAATACAAACATATGCATTATATGACAATCAATTCAGCAACATGGAATAAAGCCTAAACTGCAATGTTTCTGAAGATGTTGTTTTAAGTGATACAAGTTTGTCATGTGTAGTCCAATAAACCTCATTAGGAACCACAGAGTCTGACACTTTGAAATAATGTTGGACACTCATCCTTGAAAGTTCTCAGCCTTTAAGTCATCAAACTTTCAAATGTTAAGTGAAGAACATTCTTAGTCAAGTCTTTTAAACTTGCTGTCAATACATATTTGCAAACACATTACTGTGCGCTGCTGTTCACAATGTTATTGTACCTAGCCAGGAAAACAAACCCCTGAAGTTCAAAGGAAACAAGCAAGTGGTTGTGGACATGTTCAGAAAGTAAGGGTGCAGCACTGTCTACAGCACAGCACAAGTATAGTTTCAAAGAACATCCAAAGAGTGTGTGTTCCAATTATTTTATTAAATTCAAAGTTGATGCCAGTTCAGACTGCTTCCAGGCAAGTCCAGGAACCTGAGAACAGAAAATACAATTTAGAACATTTGCAAAGCATTTCCCTTACTTCATTGTAGCAATCTTTAAGTTAAACCAACTTACAGTTAGGAAGGTCAATGATGTCTGTTCTACACTGGCACCAGTTGCTGTTGCCACCTGGGCTGGTACAGGAATGACATTGGAATTGCTTGGGTCAACATTCAAGTGCGAGTTTGAGTCAGTGGCCTGCACATTAGAGCCAGAAGCAACACTTCCTTGGGAAGGAATGTCCCACATGCCAGCTTTACTTTGGAGCACCCCTTGCAGGGGTTTGGTCTGCTGAGGTTTGGGCTGCTGAGGGTTTGAAGGGTAGGTAGGATGCTGGGGTTTGGGCTGGTACGTAGACTGCAGGGGACTTGAAGGGTTGGTAGCCCGCTGGGGATTCAAAGGGTATGCTGGCTGGTAGGGCTTGGCCTGCACATTAGAACCAGAAGCAACACTTCCTTCAGAAGGAATGTCCCACATGCCAGCTTTACTTTGGAGCACCCCTTGCAGGGGTTCGGCCTGCTGAGGCTTGGCCTGCTGAGGATTTGAAGGGTAGGCAGGATGCTGGGGTTTTGGCCGGTACGTAGACTGCAGGGGATTTGAAGGGTAGGAAGGCTGCTGGGGTTTTGGCCGGTACCTAGACTGCAGGGGACTTGAAGGGTTGGTAGCCCGCTGGGGATTCAAAGGGTATGCTGGCTGGTAGGGCTTGGCCTGCACATTAGAGCCAGAAGCAACACTTCCTTCGGAAGGAATGTCCCACATGCCAGCTTTACTTTGGAGCACCCCTTGCAGGGGTTCGGCCTGCTGAGGATTTGAAGGGTAGGCAGGATGCTGGGGTTTTGGCCGGTACCTAGACTGCAGGGGATTTGAAGGGTAGGAAGGCTGCTGGGGTTTTGGCCGGTACCTAGACTGCAGGGGACTTGAAGGGTTGGTAGCCCGCTGGGGATTCAAAGGGTATGCTGGCTGGTAGGGCTTGGCCTGCACATTAGAGCCAGAAGCAACACTTCCTTCGGAAGGAATGTCCCACATGCCAGCTTTACTTTGGAGCACCCCTTGCAGGGGTTCGGCCTGCTGAGGATTTGAAGGGTAGGCAGGATGCTGGGGTTTTGGCCGGTACCTAGACTGCAGGGGATTTGAAGGGTAGGAAGGCTGCTGGGGTTTTGGCCGGTACCTAGACTGCAGGGGACTTGAAGGGTTGGTAGCCCACTGGAGATTCAAAGGGTATGCTGGCTGGTAGGGCTTGGCCTGCACATTAGAGCCAGAAGCAACACTTCCTTGGGAAGGAATGTCCCACATGCCAGCTTTACTTTGGAGCACCCCTTGCAGGAGTTTGGTCTGCTGAGGTTTGGGCTGCTGAGGGTTTGAAGGGTAGGTAGGATGCTGGGGTTTGGGCTGGTACGTAGACTGCAGGGGACTTGAAGGGTTGGTAGCCCGCTGGGGATTCAAAGGGTATGCTGGCTGGTAGGGCTTGGCCTGCACATTAGAGCCAGAAGCAACACTTCCTTCGGAAGGAATGTCCCACATGCCAGCTTTACTTTGGAGCACCCCTTGCAGGGGTTCGGCCTGCTGAGGCTTGGCCTGCTGAGGATTTGAAGGGTAGGCAGGATGCTGGGGTTTTGGCCGGTACCTAGACTGCAGGGGATTTGAAGGGTAGGAAGGCTGCTGGGGTTTTGGCCGGTACCTAGACTGCAGGGGACTTGAAGGGTTGGTAGCCCACTGGAGATTCAAAGGGTATGCTGGCTGGTAGGGCTTGGCCTGCACATTAGAGCCAGAAGCAACACTTCCTTCGGAAGGAATGTCCCACATGCCAGCTTTACTTTGGAGCACCCCTTGCAGGGGTTCGGCCTGCTGAGGATTTGAAGGGTAGGCAGGATGCTGGGGTTTTGGCCGGTACCTAGACTGCAGGGGACTTGAAGGGTTGGTAGCCCACTGGAGATTCAAAGGGTATGCTGGCTGGTAGGGCTTGGCCTGCACATTAGAGCCAGAAGCAACACTTACTTCGGAAGGAATGTCCCACATGCCAGCTTTACTTTGGAGCACCCCATGCAAGGGTTCGGCCTGCTGAGGCTTGGCCTGCTGAGGATTTGAAGGGTAGGCAGGATGCTGGGGTTTTGGCCGGTACGTGGACTGCAGGGGATTTGAAGGGTAGGAAGGCTGCTGGGGTTTTGGCCGGTACCTAGACTGCAGGGGACTTGAAGGGTTGGTAGCCCGCTGGGGATTCAAAGGGTATGCTGGCTGGTAGGGCTTGGCCTGCACATTAGAGCCAGAAGCAACACTTCCTTCGGAAGGAATGTCCCACATGCCAGCTTTACTTTGGAGCACCCCTTGCAGGGGTTCGGCCTGCTGAGGATTTGAAGGGTAGGCAGGATGCTGGGGTTTTGGCCGGTACCTAGACTGCAGGGGATTTGAAGGGTAGGAAGGCTGCTGGGGTTTTGGCCGGTACCTAGACTGCAGGGGACTTGAAGGGTTGGTAGCCCGCTGGGGATTCAAAGGGTATGCTGGCTGGTAGGGCTTGGCCTGCACATTAGAGCCAGAAGCAACACTTACTTCGGAAGGAATGTCCCACATGCCAGCTTTACTTTGGAGCACCCCTTGCAGGGGTTCGGCCTGCTGAGGATTTGAAGGGTAGGCAGGATGCTGGGGTTTTGGCCGGTACCTAGACTGCAGGGGATTTGAAGGGTTGGTAGCCTGCTGAGGATTTGAAGGGTAGGAATGCTGGTTGGCCTTGGTCTGCTGGGGTTTAGGCCGGTACCTAGACTGCAGGGGATTTGAAGAGTTTGTGGCCTGCTGAAGTTTCAAAGGGTAGGAGGGCTGGTAGGGCTTGGCCTGCTGAGGAATTGAAGGATTTGCATCCTGCTGAGGTTTGGGTCGGTACCAAGACTGCAGGGGATTTGAAGGGTTGGCGGCCTGCTGAGGTTTGGGCTGGTGGGGCTTGGATGGCACTGCAGAGTAGGGACCAGAGTGCATCACAAGTGCAGAACTTGAAGCAATACCAGACTGTAAAGAGTTTGGATTATGGGGCAAAGGGAAAGCCCACTGGGCAGCTTTGGTTGGAAGGACACCATTTGCACTAGGATTAGCTTGAGGTAGTTGGTTTGGTTTACTAATTATTGGTTGGCTTGGCCCGTAACTAGAAACACTTCCCTCAGGACTGTAACCATCTACTTGCCTACCATGAGAGCCACTATAACCTCCTGCACTTGGTGCAGCAGCTGGCTTCAGAGTCTCAGATAAAGCCCCATCAGCATGAAAGGGTGAATAACTACCCAAAACCCTCTCAGGCTGTGCTGAACTATCATCACTGGAAGTGGAAGCAGGTTTAAGAACTCTTGAAAAATCAAAGTGAGGTGTAATGCCACTGGAGCCTCCACTTCTGTAGCTGAGTGCTAAAAGGAAAACACATTTTTTTAAAAGACAGCCTTATAGGAAAATTATACATTTCAACTGCAGCTTGTGAACCATAAATCCTTACCCTTTGCTTGCTGCCCAAAAATCAAGAGAGAGAGCACAAGAACTCTAAGAAAAGAGGAATTAAACATGAGCCAACCAAAAACAGTTAAGTAGAATAAATATAAGAAATCTGCCAAAATAAGAATATCTTACCTCACACACAATTCAAAATACATTTTTGGTGTAAAGCTGAAACCAAACAGTCTGTAAGCGGTGTGCAGCAAATACAAAATAATCTATTGTTCCAGATTCATGACTGCTGCAAAGACAGTGCTGCTTTTAAAGTGTTGGTATATGAGCTGACCAATCATCGCACTGATGAAGTCATTGGAATCAGCTTGGGAACTCCGCCCTCTGGCAACCTGGGCAGGTGTTCACACTTTAGCTAATTTGACACATTTCAACATTTCAGTCAGTTTAACCAAATGATAACCTTTACCTGGCCGCTAGGCAAAATTCCCCTGACAGGCGATAATAGTTTGATAGTAGTTTTGTTTTTGTTTATTGAGGTTTTGATTTAATTTTCCTCCTTCAATACCACAGAGATATTAGTTTCTGCTAAGACCTACAAAGTGTAAGCTTTTGATCTTAAAACACTATGAAATGACAAGCTGTATTCAAATCAAACATATCTATACATATGTTTAAGATTTAATTTATATATATGTTCCACTGCAAATAAGATATTGTTCTCTTCCACTGAAGTTGAGAGATCTTATGGGACCTTTTACCACTGTATGATTACTTAAAAACAAATATGCTTGTGATTTGAAAATGATTTTGGAAGTGTTTTGGCTTATTGAAAACCACATATTTTATATTACTGCTTATAATTTTCCAAAGCAAATAATTAGACTCAAATACTGTACATGTTCTTTCCTCCAAGCAGCCATTGATTATAGGACACTATAAAAGTCACCTGCAGTGACTGAAAGCACTTTTTGTAGCACACTTATGGTTTCAGTAAAGAGAGACACAGCTGACAAAGACACAAACTATTTTATTAGCCATCATTCATGATACTCGTTTCACAAAAAATGTAATTCAAACAATGTTTCATTATTTTTTACATTAAAGAAAACAAACGATTTTTATGTCCCAACTCATGGCTCCACATTTACCATTATTTAAATTGCTCGATATTTTAATATAAATATTATAGCAATATATAACATTATATATATATATGAGCATAAAACATGTAGATACATCATTCTTAAAACACCAACTGAGAGCCAATAATTGAGGCGATACTGCTAAAATAGGGAGGGAGAAGTAATGATTCAGACGGGAGTAAATGAGTATAGTAAAAGATACACATTTAAATTGAAAAATAAAATAATTTAGAACTGTACATAGAGAGAAGGAAGATGGAAAGAAGGATAGAGGAAAGAAAGAAAAATGTGTGAACGTTGTGGTCTGTTAGCTGAGTTTGAGGCCGAGGCAGAGAGCCAGCTCGTTCTTCTGGATCTTTCCGTCTCCGTTGATGTCGCGGTGACCCATCAGAGCTTTCCTGAACTTGTCCAGGTCTGTGCCACTGATGCTGGGCTGGAGGAGAGGGTCGGGGGGTGGAAGAGTTAGAGAGGTCAGAAGACTCCTGATGAATGACACTGACTGATATCTGATCAATAACATTGTGTATCAGCTCTGTATAAGGGAATCTAAGGGCACCTTCACCAGCTCCATCATATCTTTGACAAATCCATCCACCTCAGGGCCCTCCAGCTCACCCGTCTTACTCTAGAAGGCATACTTTTTTATTCTCAGTGTTTCAATCTGTTGTTGATTAACAGTTACACACATGCCTAACAGGACCTATACACATTAGGCCCAAAATACACAAACATATGCATTATATAACAATCAATTCAGCAACATGGAATAAAGCCTAAACTGCAATGTTTCTGAAGATGTTGTTTTAAGTGATACAAGTTTGTCATGTGTAGTCCAATAAACCTCATTAGGAACCAGAGTCTGACACTTTGAAATAATGTTGGACACTCATCCTTGAAAGTTCTCAGCCTTTAAGTCATCAAACTTTCAAATGTTAAGTGAAGAACATTCTTAGTCAAGTCTTTTAAACTTGCTGGTCAATACATATTTGAATACACATTACTGTGAGCTGCTGTTCACAATGTTATTGTACCTTGCCAGGAAAACAAACCCCTGAAGTTCAAAGGAAACAAGCAAGTGGTTGTGGACATGTTCAGAAAGTAAGGGTGCAGCACTGTCTACAGCACAGCACAAGTAAAGTTTCAAATAACATCCAAAGAGTGTGTTCCAAGTATTTTATTAAATTCAAAGTTGATGCCAGTTCAGACTGCTTCCAGGCAAGTCCAGGAACCTGAGAACAGAAAATACAATTTAGAACATTTGCAAAGCATTTCCCTTACTTCATTGTAGCAATCTTTAAGTTAAACCAACTTACAGTTAGGAAGGTCAATGATGTCTGTTCTACACTGGCACCAGTTGCTGTTGCCACCTGGGCTGGTACAGGAATGACATTGGAATTTCTCTCAAACTTGTTGGGTCAACATTCAAGCGCGAGTTTGAGTCAGTGGGCTGCACATTAGAGCCAGAAGCAACACTTCCTTGGGAAGGAATGTCCCACATGCCAGCTTTACTTTGGAGCACCCCTTGCAGGGGTTCAGCCTGCTGAGGTTTGGGCTGCTGAGGGTTTGAAGGGTAGGAACGCTGGTCGGGCTTGGCCTGCTGAGGATTTGAAGGGTAGGAACGCTGGAAGGGCTTGGCCTGCTCAGGATTTGAAGGGTAGGAACGCTGGTCGGGCTTGGCCTGCTGAGGATTTGAAGGGTAGGAACGCTGGAAGGGCTTGGCCTGCTGAGGATTTGAAGGGTAGGAACGCTGGTCGGGCTTGGCCTGCTGAGGATTTGAAGGGTAGGAACGCTGGTAGGGCTTGGCCTGCTGAGGATTTGAAGGGTAGGAACGCTGGTAGGGCTTGGCCTGCTGAGGATTTGAAGGGTAGGAAGGCTGGTTGGGCTTGGTCTGCTGGGGTTTGGGCCAGTACCTAGACTGCAGGGGATTTGAAGGGTTTGCGGCCTGCTGGAGTTTCAAAGGGTAGGAGGGCTGGTAGGGCTTGGCCTGCTGAGGAATTGAAGGATTTGCAGCCTGCTGAGGTTTGGGTCGGTACCAAGACTGCAGGGGATTTGAAGGGTTGGCGGCCTGCTGAGGTTTGGGCTGGTGGGGCTTAGGCTTGTAGCGGGCCTGCTGGGGCTTTGGAAGGTTTTTGGGCTCCTGGGGCTTGGATGGCACTGCAGAGTAGGGACCAGAGTGCATCACAATTGCAGAACTTGAAGCAATACCAGACTGAAAAGAGTTTGGATTATGGGGCAAAGGGAAAGCCCACAGCGCAGCTTTGGTTGGAAGCACACCATTTGCACTAGGGTTAGCTTGAGGTAGTTGGTTTGGTTTACGAATTATTGGTTGGCTTGGCCCGTAACTAGAAACACTTCCCTCAGGACTGTAACCATCTACTTGCCTACCATGAGAGCCACTTGGTGCAGCAGCTGGCTTCAGAGTCTTAGATAATGCCCCATCAGCATGAAAGGGTGAATAACTACCCAAAACCCTCTCAGGCTGTGCTGAACTATCATCACTGGAAGTGGAAGCAGGTTTAAGTCTTCTTGAAAAATGAAAGCGAGTTGTAATGCCACTGGGGCCTACAATTCTGGAGCTGAGTGCTAAAAGGAGAACACATTTTTTAAAAGACAGCCTTATAGGAAAATTATACATTTCAACTGCAGCTTGTGAACCATAAATCCTTACCCTTTGCTTGCTGCCCAAAAATCAAGAGTGAGAGCACAAGAACTCTAAGAAAAGAGGAATTAAACATGAGCCAACCAAAAACAGTTAAGTAGAATAAATATAAGAAATCTGCCAAAATAAGAATATCTTACCTCACACACAATTCAAAATACATTTTTGTTGTAAACTGAAACCAAACAGTCTGTAAGCGGTGTGCAGCAAATACAAAAATAATCTATTGTTCCAGATTCATGACTGCTGCAAAGACAGTGCTGCTTTTAAAGTGTCGGTGCATGAGCTGACCAATCATCGCACTGATGAAGTCATTGGAATCAGCTTGGGAACTCCGCCCTCTGGCAACCTGGGCAGGTGTTCACACTTTAGCTAATTTGACACATTTCAACATTTCGGTCAGTTTAACCAAATGATAACCTTTACCTGGCCGCGAGGCAAAATTCCCCTGACAGGCGATAATAGTTTGATAGTTTTGTTTTTGTTTATTGAGGTTTTGATTTCATTTTCCTCCTTCAATACCACAGAGGTATTAGTAAGACCCAGAAACTAAGACCTAAAAAGTGTAAGCTTTTGATCTTAAAACACTATGAAATGACAAGCTGTATTCAAATCAAACACATATGTATACATATTAACATATGTTTAAGATTTAATTTATATATATGTTCCACTGCAAATAAGATATTGTTCTCTTCCACTGAAGTTGAGAGATCTTATGGGACCTTTTACCACTGTATGATTACTTAAAAACAAATATGCTTGTGATTTGAAAATGATTTTGGAAGTGTTTTGGCTTATTGAAAACCACATATTTTATATTACTGCTTATAATTTTCCAAAGCAAATAATTAGACTCAAATACTGTAAATGTTCTTTCCTCCAAGCAGCCATTGATTATAGGACACTATAAAAGTCACCTGCAGTGACTGAAAGCACTTTTTGTAGCACACTTATGGTTTCAGTAAAGAGAGACACAGCTGACAAAGACACAAACTATTTGATTAGCCATCATTCATGATACTCGTTTCACAAAAAATGTAATTCAAACAATGTTTCATTATTTTTTACATTAAAGAAAACAAACGATTTTCATGTCCCAACTCATGGCTCCACATTTACCATTATTTAAATTGCTCGATATTTTAATATAAATATTATAGCAATATATAACATTATATATATATATGAGCATGAAACATGTAGATACATCATTCTGAAAACACCAACTGAGAGCCAATAATTGAGGCGATACTGCTAAAATAGGGAGGGAGAAGTAATGATTCAGACGGGAGTAAATGAGTATAGTAAAAGATACACATTTAAATTGAAAAATAAAATAATTTAGAACTGTACATAGAGAGAAGGAAGATGGAAAGAAGGATAGAGGAAAGAAAGAAAAATGTGTGAACGTTGTGGGGGTCTGTTAGCTGAGTTTGAGGCCGAGGCAGAGAGCCAGCTCGTTCTTCTGGATCTTTCCGTCTCCGTTGATGTCGCGGTGACCCATCAGAGCTTTCCTGAACTTGTTCAGGTCTGTGCCACTGATGCTGGGCTGGAGGAGAGGGTCGGGGGGTGGAAGAGTTAGAGAGAGGTCAGAAGACTCCTGATGAATGACACTGGACTGATATCTGATCAATAAAATTGTGTATCAGCTCTGTATAAGGGAATCTAAGGGCACCTTCACCAGCTCCATCATATCTTTGACAAATCCATCCACCTCAGGGCCCTCCAGCTCACCCGTCTTACTCTAGAAGGCATACTTTTTTTATTCTCTCAGTGTTTCAATCTGTTGATTAACAGTTACACACATGCCTAACAGGACCTATACACATTAGGCCCGAAATACACAAACACTCGCATTATGACAATCAATTCAGCAGCATGGAATAAAGCCTAAACTGCAATGTTTCTGAAGATGTTGTTTTAAGTGATACAAGTTTGTCATGTGTAGTCCAATAAACCTCATTACACTCAAAAAAATTATTAAGCCAAAAGCGTTGACTTTAAGCGTTTTAATTACATGTACATTTTCCATTCAATTTTATCATGTACGTTTAATGTAAATACTCACATTCAATGCTATGTTTTTCCATTACGTTGACTTAGTGTGAAATAATTAAGTAACTTTTAGATCGGATCAATAGAATTAATGCCAACTTTTACATAAAATGTATGTATTGATTCAATTAGGTAATCTTACGTTAAGGGACGTTTTAAATAAACCTAATTTGTTGATTCACTTATTGCACATAAAGGTTAAGGGACATTTTAAATAAACCTAATGTGTTGATTCACTTATTGCACATAAAGGTTAAGGGACGTTTTAAATAAACCTAATGTGTCGATTCACTTATTGCACATAAAGGTTAAGGGACGTTTTAAATAAACCTAATGTGTTGATTCACTTATTGCACATAAAGGTTAAGGGATGTTTTAAATGCTTTTCATATGCGTCATTGTGCAACTAAATCATATATGCACATACAACAACAGTTTTCCAAGGTTTAATTCACAATGGAACTGCTCACATCCTTTCATCATCAAATCTGTCAATTTGTCACATTTCTAACATTCAACATTACTTTGAGCTCAAACTATGATGGTATTTTCTTCAACCTAGTGCTGTTCACTAAACCTTAAACCACAAATATTTCACAATGTTTTCACAACCACATTGCAAACACTGAACAGTCTGCTTTGTTTTCACAGCAAGAGTAATTTTTTCATAGTTAAGAAAATATAATGGTCTGGAATAAACAGGAGGCAACTGCAGTCCCCTGGATCAAGTTTGTAACCCATTAAGCTACCTTGAGCTGCTCCATTCCTGACGCTTTCAGAAAGCGTTGGAATCACATTCAAGGGCAACATTTTTAAATATAGAGTGGTGCAGTGATGACGTATTTTTGTAGGCAGACCCTGAAGTAAGCTGCGCAAGGGTTCCCTCGACAAAAAAGCAATGGGATTTCTCTGTGGGTCTGTGGAAAACGAACCCGTTTGATAAATGCACATTTTGTTCAGCCGGATAATTTCCACGTCTACCTACTTTTATAATTTTAATTATTATTATTATAATTGTAATTATTAAGTAGTACTAAAAGTAGTATAATTTGTATTATAAAAGTAGGTAGACGTGGAGATTATCCGGCTGAACAAAATGTGCATTTATCAAACGGGTTCGTTTTCCACAGACCCACAGAGAAATCCCATTGCTTTTTTGTCGAGGGAACCCTTGCACAGCTTACTTCAGGGTCTGCCTACAAAAATACATCATCACTGCACCACTCTATTAGGTATTAACACAGAAATGTTAAAATTCAACACCTTGCAACTTTTAAGAACATCACATTTGTCCATTGTAAACATTTCCAGACTAACTTTCACAGAGGAATCTCACTTGGCATTGTAGCTTTTTAAGTGGCGAGTCCATGAGATGTTTATGGGGATAAAAAAAAAGGGATCTCCATCGCTCGTTCTCATCTATTGCAACAACAAAAGATTATGCAATGTCATTGAAAAATTGACATGTCAAAGAACAGTTTTCTCCACCAAAATGGTCCTTTAAAGTTCAAACAAAATGAATGTGCCAAAAAATAACTGTCCCAGAGTTTAATATATAATATACTTCAACCGCCTTAAGTAGTATGTAGTAATCAAACGTATATTGTCCAACAAGAACAATTCTTGTCACAGCTTGATTGTCCAGCCCTGAAATTATGGGCTCACTGAAGCATCTTGATTTTCAGGCTTTGGACCTTTGGTGACAGCTTGTTGCCATCCAAGTTCATCAACACTTTCTGTAAAAACTCGAAAGTGAACTTGAGTTCCTGTGGATAGCTCAAGTTGAGAGTGTAAATCAACCCAAAGAGCATGGCCCATCCTAACGAAATACTTCGCAGATTGGATAGCAGTTCCACACCTTCGATGATCACTCCGACATCCTATGGCCCGTCCTCTTCATGAGCGCCCTCATTGCGGATCACATAAAGTCCCATGGTAGTCTGTGGGATTGCACTCTCGGCTTCCTCACTCCTGACATTCTAAAAAAAAGGTGGAAAACAAGATCATTAACTATTTTGAAAAAGTAGACCTAGTAAGTTTAAAAGGTTCAGTGTGTAATATCGGAGATAGCAAAGCTCCCTTACCTCCCTTTGGGAAAATGTTCAGAAAGTATGGTGGCCTTCAAGGACAGTAATTTAGTAACTGAAGATGGCATCATCCACCACTGCCTCAAGCCTTTCAGTATCAAGTGTGCTGAAGATGGACTTAGTTATTTATCTATAGTACTATATGTTATAGCTCAATAACTAAGGCTTTTCTAGCAGGCACCTACTATGTATAAAAACGTGTATGGCCATTAAGTTTGTCCGTTCTGTGCTACTGTAGAAACATGGCGGCACATACCCACTCCTATGTAGACAAAATAAATGATAATTCTAGGGTAATAAAAATAACAAACTTATATTTAAGCCATTATACACTTAACACATTGTTATGTACCTTTAATACAAAACTGTTACAGTCAAATTACTTACCAGGTACTACTTGACGAGACTGTTGCTGTCCTCCTTCAGATAGGCACACAGACTTTTCAGGACAGAGTCTCTTTTGAGCTCAATGTCCTCACTCTATAAAAACAAGGCATATTAAATATTTCAAAAGGACATTACATTTTTACCAAGACTTTGCACAAAAAATGTATGCACAAGTATATTAGTTATTGTTAATGCAAAAAACATGCGAGAAGAAGGTTGACACATGTAAGTCTGATCAAAATGCATGTGCTTTAAACTCAAATGTAGTTTTTAATATCAGAATGTTGTTACATTTATTCATATCATACAAACCGCTTGGTATGTGTGAACTGTGTTTGTGTGTGGGTGTTTGAGAGTCACAAAAGCATTAATGTCAATTCTAATGTAAAGATTAGTAAAAGCACAGCACACCATTTAAAGAGTATTGAAAAGATCAAGCCTTTGGATAAATAACATTTCAGTTTAATTTGCTAAACAGACCACGCATGTACAGCATTTAATGTGTATAGCTATGTGCAGTGGCGGCCGGTGGTCTTTTTTTTTGGTGGGGCTCTTGACGTACCGTAAGTGACCTGTCCGGGGGGGTCCGGGGGGTTTCCCCCCGGAATTTTTTTTCGAGAAATGACCCCTTAAATGATGACTTCTGGTGATGTTAGAGGGGGGGGGGAAAGGAGAAATCGAGGCTTAAAAATATGAGAAGACTGATCAATACCTCCATAATCTTCAGT